CCAACCCTCCCCCTTGTGCGTTCATGTGCGTGTGTGTATGTGGAAAACAAAAGACAGCCAAGTCCTAATGCAGCAATCAGAGCTCGAGGACAGGGGAAATGGTCTGAGGGGAAATGGAGTGTGTGTGTGTCTATGCATTGATGTGTGTGTGTGTGCTGCTGTGTATATGGGGGCGGTGTAATTATGTTCTAGTTGTGATGACTGAAGTGCAGCAGTGATTAGCTACATCAGAGGCAATTTATGTTCAGCAGTCACTTGGTTTGGACTTCCAGAGTTGCCACTCCTCTCTCTCTGTCACTCGCTCTCTTCCATCCCCGGATCTCCAGCTTACCTCGGCTCTGGAGACATAGCGTGCCTCTAGTCACATCCCTAGAGCAAAGGTCTTCCAGCCCCACCTTTTAACTGCGCATTCTCCTTCATTAGTTGAAGTCCCAGATCACGTTAGTATGTCTCAAGCTTCAGATTGTCCCAAACCAAAACTACGACCTCTACAGCCAGTCTCTAAACCGATCTGTTCTTCGTTCAGGTCCCGTCACTAAACTGCACTAGCCCTTCTTTACACCAAACTGAGATCTGATCTTTTAACCACACAAACCCTTCTTTTCAGCCTCATCATAGATCTAATCATCAGTCCTCTAGAGTCACTTGCCCCAGGCCCGTTCCAGCCTTTCTAAGCCAAACTTTGGAGCAAACATGTTTTGGGTTTTTTTTTCCTGTTATCCATCCTGAAACCATAACTGTAGATTCCACTTATTCTCCATTCAGCTTCACTCACAAACCTAACCTCAAGTAAGTTGCAGGTGTGGACTAAACCTTACCATATTTTAGCCACATCTCTAAATCAAATCATGCCTCATTACAGAACACACTCCAAAACAAACTCCTCATCCTATAGCTTAATCCACGATTGAGACTAGCCCCACAAGCCTCAACTTAAGCCTTACCCTCCAGCTGCACATGCAAATAGTCTAGGACCGATGGTAGGAGACAGTCTGCGCCCCTCTCTACTAGTACTCTAAGAGTACTACGCTTTTAACACACCCTAAGTGACTCCTGTGTCCTCACTCTGAGCCAGTGGGTCAGCACAGACCAGCCCTAACAGCATGACTGGCTGTCTGAGGAATGCCATGTCATGGAACAGATGGAGCTCCACAGTCAATAGAGCTGCATGCATTACCCAGCCCTATGTACGAAGGCATGTGCCACGCTTTGCGTGTGCATGTATGTAATTTGCATTATGTCACCATTCTCAATGCACTTTGCATCCTTTGCCCCCCGTCTTTACATTCTTTCCAAAACACAACAGGCAGCAATGAGACAAAGAAAGATACACCCTTGGAAGAAAACTTTGAAAATGATGCAAACACGCCCAAAAGGCACGATTCTCCACATGGCGTGATGCAATGGAGAGATAATGCAGAAAATCCTGGAGATGCATGGAAATATTGGCCTCTGCACACGAGCTGATGTTGGCTAAAACTAAAACAACCCCATGAACCAATAAGTTACTACTTTCAGTTCAATCAATAACACATTATCTCATTCACCGTGCCACTAAAGATCAAATAAAGCTGATTTCCAGACCACAAATGCTGTAATAGGGTCGTTATAACACCTATAGATCATCAATACAACAATAAAGTTGGAGTTTTTCTTAAATTTTTAGAGCATTATCTGGAGACTCCTGCATAATTAGACAACCTGTGTGCACGCAGTTGGCGTGAAAGAGTCGATCAGAGTCCAGGCACAGTGTAGTTGTGGTCTTTGGTGATGGATCACAGCTGTGAGCTGTTATCATAAAGACCGAGGCTGCCACATTTCATTCATTTCACATATATGGGCCCGCTGGCGAGGTCCATATCAGAGCGGTGCACTTCCAATGAAACATTAAATCAGCTCCCAAACTATTTACATGAAGAATTTAAACGCACGCTGAGTGGATGGCTCCATTCTTGGTTGTGGGTCCAGTCGTTATGGAGACATTACCGGATTGCTAAATAAGGCTGGAAGTGTTAGTAAATCGGGATGCCAGATTGGACGCGAATCCAGTGAACTCACCCAAGAGAACGACGGATGATCGGCTCCCCGCTCCTCCTCCTCTGTGTAAATCCAGGACCCCGGACACAAATAAATTAGCCCTGTACGAGAATCAGGCGGATTGTGTAATTTCACAAAAATCCCCTCTTCATCCGCACTACCAAAGCGATGGAGTGGAGGCGACGTGGAGCCGCAAACCAACCTGGTCGGCGTAGCCTACACACACACGCACACACACATAAACACGCAGGCACAATTTTTTTAAAAAAAAAATTAAAAAAGCAGAGAGTCTGTCTTATTCGTGCAATCAAAGCGATATTTTCCCAAAAAGGCACCGACTCGGGGTTTCGGGAGGGGGGGCTGATTTCGGTGGAATCGGTGTAGTAATCTCGGATGCTTTGGTTGTTGACTGTGCACTTACTGGGCTGCTTCCCCCGGCTCCACCCGCTAACCCAGCCTTCCCAGTGCGCCCATTGGCACAGACAGCCGGACATGCAAATCTACTCTTCCCATTGATGTTTTCCAGAAAAGAAAAAAAAGCACAGCGTTGTGGTTCTGTTGCTCTACTGCGCCACCGTGCGGCATCTAACCTGCTGTGATTCACGGTTTACTATAGCCCTGTTTTAAGAAAGTCCCCGTGCCTCCCTAAAACACAGGTGTCAAACATAAGGCTCGGGGGCCAGAATCGGCCGACAAAGACTCCAGTCCAGCCCACTTTTAGCTTCATTGGCAGTGAATGAATGTGAATTATGTCTGGGCAGTGAGCTACCAGAACGTTTTTCTATCATTTTACAAATGTGTTTATTTGTTCTGACAGATGTCTTTCATTTACTACAACTGCATTTCTTTTTCATGTACAACGACTGATACCCACTGTTGAAATTACACTTCTTTTCCTTGTATTAAATGCAATTAAATGTTTAGTTAAATTACTTTACACTGACAGAAGGGGGAGGTTTGCTGGTTCGGCCCACTTAACATCAAAGTGGGCTGTATGTGGCCCACAAGTTTGATACCTCCGCCCTAAGAGGACACCCACCCATTTTAGCAAGGCACAAAATTTTAACTATATTTTGCAAATATAGTTAAATTATGCCCTCTAACACTGAATTTCTCAAAGATTACAAGCACTTTCTTTTCAAAGATTTTTAAGAACACAGTATTTTACATATTGTGAAGCAATGATGTAGAAAGTTCGTCGATTGTTAAATGTTAAAAAGTCCATACTGAACGCATGGCTGCTTTATTAGTTACACCTTCCTAGTACCAGATCAGACCTTTCTTCAGAACTTCTTTCATTTTTTGTTGCACAGATTCAGCAAAGTCGTGAAAACAGATGTTAGCCCTTTACGATGTTCACAGATGTTGGTCCATATTGACATGACAGCATCACACAGTTGCTGCATATTTGTCAGCTGGAAGCTCTCACTCTCAATGGTGCACTGTTGGATTGAGATCTGGTGACTACAGATTGAACTGACTGTCAGTTTCAAGAAACCAGTTTGAGATGATTTAAACTTTGTGACAAGGTGCGGGATCATGCTGGAAGCAGCCATTAGAAGATGGGTACACTGTAGCCACAAAGGAATGATCCTGGACATGGAGCCTATAATCTAAATGTCACAACAGAAACAGAGACTCATCAGACCAGGCGATTTTTTCCAAGCTTTTTTTGTCCAGTTTGGTGAGCTTGTGGGAATTGTACCCTCAGTTTCCTGTTCTCAGCTGACAGGAGTGGCAGCCGGTGTTTGTAAGTGTTAAGCGTGTATTTTTCTGGCGATAGACTTCACAAACTACATCACACACAGCTGTGATGAATACTGTGCTGCAAACAGTGCTCAGACTATATACAAACATGTCGCTGGAGCTTGTCAAAAACCATTTTCAACATCATATTCTAGAAGAAAAACATACCAGTATGTCTGTAATAGCCTAATTAAAACTGGTCTGATTACAACTAGTAACAAAGGTGGCAGTAATTCTGACATTATATATGTTGGTGGGTATTTTATAAGTGAATCATATATTACATCCTACTTAATGTTGGAGAGGAGAAAGTTTGAGACTGCTTCCATCATGGTCACATTTTTCACCAAAACTACTACTCACTCTTTTTGTCTTTACACACAAACAAAATGTAAACAGTGACACCTTCAATGACGATAGGTTTTCGCATACGCACCACATTTAACACTTCATAAACGGGTTGGTTCTGGTAGAAATCACCTCACACCGGTCCAATGTTGAGCCTCAGTGAAAGGTCTGAGACCAAGAAAAAAAAAAAAAGGCTAACTCTGCGCCAATAAACTGAAGCCAGCTGCTTCTTACACGCAGAGAAGCACTTCAACTTTCCATTGCGTGAAACTACAAGAGAAGAATGTGCTTTTTCTTCTCTGTACATGTGCAGCGGCCCATTTCCAAGACTCAGGAAAATAAACTTGATTCCAATGCAGAGTGCAGGAACGAGCCGACCTCGCTGTAGGAGCAGCTCGGCAGCTGTACTGTGCAGGACGTCGCGGCGCTGAGTGGAAGGACTCAGTTAAAGCCCCTTCCCCAATCTCTCTCTCTCCATCAGCTTTTTATAATGCCAGTGAAGGCCCAATACTTCTGCTCCCATGATTGTGTGAGAGCCTTGCAGGCAGCTGCGTAGTGCTCTAATGGCTTGGTCGCAGACTAAACTGGCAGCACTGCCTTGGAACGAAAATAGTTCCTGGAAAACACAGCTCCATCAATGCCACCATTAGCTCAAATCTAACATTATTTCAGCTCAACTACTATTATTACGCGTAACTGTCAATACAAGACCATTGCAGGAAAACGGTGAGGTCAAACATGGCCTCTGGTCACTGACATTTCCCAAAACAGGTCTAAATGTGAAACGGAAAGATCAATAGGGTGTGGAAGAATCATTTGTTTGTAGACACCTGCCAGTAAAGCTCACTTTGTGACAAACACACAAACAATACTGTTTCACATTTTATTTCATTACAAAAGTAAAACATGCACAGCACACTGCCTTCTAAAGATACAGTACAGGTATTTGCAATAAATAAGCATGAAAAAGAGCTGACGGTACTTCGTGTTATGGAGTTTTATGCCAAGTGCACTTTATAATGCAAGGCCATTATTTTGTAGGGTCCATTAGACTGTCTTCTCTAATTAATCTGATAATCTGGTCATCTCGGCTGGCAGCCATCACATTTAGGTGAAAGCTTTATTCACCAACTCATCAGCAAGCACAAAATGCCTTCTATAAAAACAGGACTCGGCAGTTGGCAGCATCTGTGATTCAGTGCAGGGGCAGTATCATCACCCCCCCAAGATAGAAGATACTCGCTCCACTTTAAAATAAGGTGGAGCTCGCAGGCAAACCCAGCTGAAGCTGAGAGGACAAACAGAACATGCAGCTCTCCTTGCTTTGTGTGTTTACTTTTACAAAATCTAATCAGAAAGCCTGCACTTCTCTGTGATCAGTTCATTGTTTAATTTCTATCTGTACATAAAAGTAAAGGTCACACCAAAATGTTGTGTTTGGACATCCTTAACAACATCCTCACACTGATGTGAGTGACATGTAGCAGCAAAAGTCATTTGTGGTCTTTGTTAGAGCACGCTGGCAAAGTCTGTTATTACTGACATGGTGTACGTCCAATCCAGTGGCTCCACTTGTGGAGTTAAGTGTGACTCTTTTCTGTCTCTGTACTCCTGAGCCACTCTGAGAAAGGCAAATTAAGAAACTTGTCTCAGAACTGCTAAGCCCTAGCCTGCGCTGCATGCCCGGCCGGCCTACGCTGCATGTAGGCGTGGTACACATCGAGGAACATGTCCTTGCACGGTATTTTCGCGTTCAGCTTGGAGCAGATGAGGAAGGAGCCGGCCATCTTGCGGTGGAGGGAGTAGGTCTCCTCAGGTGGAGGGGTGAGGCGGTGGCGGAGCATGACCGGGATGAGGCTCTGAATGCGCTGAGTAGTGCTCTGAGTGCCAAAGTCGAAGGGCTCGGAGGATGCGAAGGCTTCACCGAGAATCATCACCGCTTCCACGTGAGCATCTGCGAAGGCCTGTCGTGGAGCAGGAAGCAGAATTACAGCAGGCATGTTAATGTCAGAGCATTAAGTATGCATGATATCTTGGACTGTATATATAATTACATGCGTTTTCTTTAACTGAGTCATATTTCATATAATAAATGACACTTTAATAGCACACATAGGCTGATATACGCCAAAAGTACTTGCTTGTCTGCCTTCACACGCATATGAACTTGAGTGACATCTCATTATAAATCCATAGGGTTTAATAAGCCATATTCCACAATTAAAAGTGTGCTTATGGGAATTTTTTGACCATTCTTCCAGAAGCACATTTGTGAGATCAGACACAGATGTTGGACAAGAAGACCTGGCTAACAGTCTTCCATATCTATCGGGTTGAGGTCAAGCCAGTCAGGTTCTTCCACACCAAACTCACTCATCTGTGTCTTTAAGGACCTGCTTTGTGCACTGGTGTGCAGCTTCATGGCTGAGTTGCTCTCATTACCATTAACTTCCACTTTGTTAAATATCACAAACAGCTGACTGTGGAATATTTAGCAGAGAGGAAATTTCACGGTTGGACTTGTCGCACACGTGGCATCCTAAGACAGCACCACGCTGGAATTCGCTGAGCCATTATTTCTTAAATGTTTGTAGAAGCAGTCTGCATGCCCAGGTGCTTGACCTTATACACCTGTGGCCATGAAAGTAGTTTAGATCTCCTCTTCAAGATCTTCTTCTTGTGCACCTCTGATCTGCTTTTATTGCAGCTGTAATTTTAAGACCGTGTGTAAAATCCACTGTTTCCCTTTGCAACATCTGCTCAAGCGTGTCAAAACAATGATGCTTCAACTTGAGGGGGACCGAGGAGCAAGGAGTCAAATCAGGTGAGTAAAGATTCCAATCGTGTGACCACAAAACTCCTATTATTCCAGGGTGCTGTTTGCCAGCAAACAACAGCTTAGGTTTTTTCTGCTTAATTTCCTCCCACGCTCCTGACCTGAAGCGCTGCCTTTGGGCTACAACACTGTGGACTCCTCCTGCTTGGTCTCTGGGTTGTAACAAGAGAAATGACTGTCATTAGCAGTTTGATACGGAAGAGATGAAATAGCAGAAGGGCAACCTTAAATGCTTAGAACTGGACTTCCACAGAGCAGAAACTCTGCAAGCAGTCCTCAGGTGCATGACAAGAGACCCTTTAACTTGAAATGAGTCAAAGTTATAAATCAGGTAAGCATCATATTGCATTCATCTACTGAAAACAAAAGGGAGACTTCTTTAGTAAACACATAGTGAAACGGGGTAAGAGCATAAGGGCTGTGCGCTGCAGTGAAACAGTGCTGAATGCAAACAAACTGAGAACACAAAAGAGACAAAAACAGATAAAGCATATCAAAAATAAGCAGCAGCAGCGACTAAAATAAAACTACCTTGGCCTCGAAGCCTGTCAGGAATTTCAGGTCCTTGGATTTGGAAAGAACGGTGGCTCGATCGCCGACAGAAGCTGCATAAATCACCTGAGCACACAACACAATCTTGTTTATTTACAGAGCTCCACTTTCAGGCTGAATGTGT